TGGAATAAAATGTGGAATAAACTTCAGACGATATATTTTTGAGTTACAACTTCAAAGTAAAAAAAACATGTAAATTATACTGTTGTTCTATAAATTTAGCTAAACCGTTAGATTATAAAATGCACACACATTGCCATGTATGTAGGCATGCAAAGCTATTTATATATGTATACAGATTTGCTTATCTACATGCAACATATGTATGTACATACTCGTATGTATCTCACTTCCCAGTTCAACTGAGTTCAATTGATTTGGCGAAAATGAAATTCCTTTGTTTAATATTTGAAATATGATATACTTATATACATGTGTATGTATTTAAACGTTTAACTACATATGTACTCATATATGTCTGTGGTATATACTTAGTAGGTACTTATATGCAAACTCCCACAAATGCCTCCGCATACACTCATATTTTCCATTTTTATAAACAAGAAGATGAAAGTGATTTATTACTTACCTACACACTTACTTACCTATCCACACATTTCCACGCCTCCAAAGACGTTTGTTGCTCATACGCACCGCTTGTTTATTTACCCATTTCATTTGAGTGCTTCACGTCTTTTCGCTATATTTACTCTCAGCAGACAAAGTACGACATTATTTTTGGCATAAATTGCACATCGACGGTTGAAATAATGGATCTAAGCAGCCGCTATGTTGCAACAAGTGAGAAGCTCAAATCGTGCACTTAAGGTCGTTATTCGTCTAAGTGGTCGACGAGATAGCATTATTTAATAAAAACCGATTTTTTAGTATTGTATTAAATAGCGCTTGTAGTCACTACTGATAGTCTTTAAAAGATAGTTTCTTATACTGCATTCCCTTTATGAAGGTAGTAGTGACGCTGTTGCTATAAATAAATTAAGGTAAATAATATCAAATAGGCACAGGGAAAAGAGAGTGAGAGAGTGAAAGAGTGAAAGAGTAACATACCTACATTTTATACTCTGTCTACTTTTAAACCCTGAACGAGGTATATTAAGTTTGCCATGAAGTTTGTAATATCCAGAAGGAAACGTCGGATACCCAAAAAAATTTACCATATATGAATACCATAAATGATCAGGGTGACGAATCGGGTCAATTGAGCATTATTTGTATATGCGCGAACTAGGCTCTCAGTTTTTAAGATAGTGTAGATCTTGCACATGACCTTTTCGTTTTGAACCAATATATATAGTTGCCATACAAACTGACCGAGCGAAATCAAGTTCTTGAATCTTTTGTATATGTGAAGGGTATTATAACCGAAGTTAACGTTTTTCTTGTTTTTGTACTCTTGCAACATGTTGGCACATATTATAATAGGTTTGTTCACCGAACGGTTGTTTGTATCCTCTATTAAATTTAATATACAAATCTCCTCAACCATTCAAGCTATTATAACCAATTTCGCTAAAGGAAAATTCTTCTTTAATCTATAACATATATCTCCTTAATCTATAATCAGAGACATAAAATTTTACACTCGAGGTGGTATAATAGGGCTTTATAGGAACCGGTATCAAATTTAGACAATGGGCGTGCATCGCGCACATTTACGTAAAAACCCAAATCTCGAGACCTTCTCGACCAATTTCAACCAAGTTCAAAAATTAACATTATCCTGACATTCTTACATTACAGTATAAAAATGAGCGGAATCAGACAGTGGTTTTTGTCTGATTCACATATAACAAAATTTAAATTCCATCTTATTCTTTCCCTTTCTAGTATACAAATCAAGAACCAATCAATGTATCCCGATAAAACTTTGCACGAATAGTGAGCTTGAGGTGTGCCAGCTTATAACCAAAATTTGTCCAAGCCGGACCAAACTATTGAAGCCCCCATATACCGAATATGTGGACGCCAGTTTCTTGGCGAATTTTTTACCACAAATATCGGTCAACCTGCCAGATATATGTACATATGTATTATTGAAATTCGAAAAGAATTTGTCCCAGCTTTGATCCTTGCAAGTGCAAGAGAGTATAAAATGTTCGGTTACACCCGACCTTAGCCCTTCTTACTTGTTCAATTTCTATTATATTTAATATTTTTTTAACTCCCGCTAAGAAAATGGAAAATTTTCTAAAAATCGGGAAGATATTGGTTTCACCCCATTTTGCAAAAATCAAGTTCTCAACAGATCTCGACGTTCTGAGGGTCGAGGAAGCTTCCCCGAACATTTCTACGATGATGTCCGTATGTCTGTATGTATGTGTGGATGTATGTGTGTGTGTGTGGATGTATGTGACCCTCTTATAACTATTAAACTGCTCAACCGATTTGAATAAACTAAACGGCATTCCAAAGGGTTTCATTGCACTTGAATTTCGTGTAAGTTTGGACCCAATCGGACCAGTAGATTTCGAGAAATATCAAAAATAAAAATTTTGAAAAATCGTTTGTTCGAATTTTTTCCAAACGACTTGACCGATCGACACCAAAAACTAATCAGTTCTAAACCTTGAAGAAACACATCGTTTGCCGCAAACCGGGTCGAAATCGGTTGATTTACTTGCTAGATATCGAAAACGAAAAATTTCGAAGAGCTCAAAAGCAGTGAAAAAAGCGAAATTTGATCGTTAGCGTATGAAATTAGAGGGACGTTGCAGGGATGGCCCTTGAGGCCAACCGTTTTCCACATTTTTTTGATTATTTGTTGTTTTTGCTTCTCTGTGAACTTCGCTCATAAGAAATTATCGCATTAATTTAGTTGTAAGCAATTTATATGGCTAATTAACGTTGTGCGTGTTGCACACACATGAACACAGGCATGTGTACGAATAGCAGGTTATGTTCATATTTACGCTTGTTACTGCCGCTGCATTTTGAGTAAACTTGACGTTGGGTTTTTCCTGCACGCGTTTTACTTACGCAGCCTCACGGCTGCCACGAACTATTTACTGTTTAAACTTTACTTTACTTTACTCTTCATATCTTTTAACTTCGCTGTGTGTTTGTTGTTTTTGCTATTCCGTAAATTAGCGCTAACAATGTGGAAAAGTGAGAATTGAAAATTCACTCGCCACACACTACGATCCGTTAATCTGCATTATTATAGTTATTTTTGTTTTAGTTTTTGTTGGCATTGTTTTTTTCATTATTGTTATTGGCTAGCACATCGTAGAAGGCGTTAAAACATCTCAAATTTGTAAGTTACATAATTTAATTTGCCTTTTATGTTTATTAAGTGCAACTTTCGTGGCGTCGGTAGTCTTGTCGCTCTGTAATGCGCGAGTAAGGGATGTCCAAGTGTGCGTGCTGCATCACTTTAACTTAAACCAGGTATGTAAGTTTGCAATTGGCGGCTTTGATTCGCCATTGCTCAGCTCGTTTGTTCGTCTCAAAAGTATATATTCGTAGAAGCAAATTCAGGTTTGAATTCAATTCCAGAGAGTATGTTTCGTTAGTAGCTCTATTATACCAGTCTATTGCTTTTATACCAGTTACTTGTTCGATTCGTCAGCATACATAATCTGGCTATTTAAAAAAAAATAAGTTTGTAAGTCAATGCCAAAAGCAAAAACAAATATTCCTTATAAGTAAACGAGGAACATACTCTCTTTCGAATTTTCCTTCAACTTAATTGCAAATGTTTATAAATAGTAATACTTATTTAAACTAAAAGTTCAAGCAAGCATTGATAAATTTTTTTTTGATGTCGCTCGCAAATGCCATAAATACTCTATTTTCTAATTTCTTTCTATAAAAAAAACTATATTTACGGCATTAAAACTATAAAATATTTGTATGCCTTCTGATAAAATTTTCTTTATACCATAAAGAAAGATTTTGTGGTTGTGTTTAAAAAAAAAAACTAGGTATTAATAATTTTCTATCATTACTTGTAGACAAAAAACACTAAAAGACTTTCGAATATTATTTTGCGTGCGGGTATAAAAATCATTGCATCGATGTAAAACAGCAAAAATATAACAGTAAATATTTGTATATAACTGGAATTCTTAATCACATTATGGCAAATAAACTTTTAAGACTCTAGCCAACAAAGTTCGTGCTGAAAGTGAAAGGTTATTTAAGTAATTATAAACTTATAAAATTTAAATCGACAAAGCAACTAGTATAAATACGATAAACTGGTATAAACAGTTGCAAATTAAATACCAATATGTTATAACGCTTTAATGAGGACTCCACATACTCTCTTGATTTAGTTAAACCGGAAAACATTATTGCTACTTTTATATGTAAATGTTTTGTTAAGCGAACATAGTTCAAATATAGCGAGCAGAACATACGTATGTATGTATATGAAGTAAAGGGTCTGGAAGTGCATATCATTGAGTGTTGTTTATCTCTATTCATTTGTTCTCGCACTTGTTCTCTACAAAACTTTGCGTTTATTTCTACTTTCACAACGGTTCAGGGTTGTTTTCTTGAGCTCTTGATATTAAAGGCTATTTTTCTGAAAATAAATATTCACAATAATCGATAGTGCCTCAAATCTTGGCATATTGAATTGAGTGCAAAATCTGCTAGCAGAGACAGAGACAGACTCTGCTGCTGAGTATATATACATATATATTTTCCCATAGCTTTAAACATAACTTTCAAAATGGCTGACCTTGTCAGCATAAGTAAGGGATATGAATACCAACACAACGCGAAAATTCACTGAAAATTTGGTATTTTTTATACCCTGAACAGAGGTCCCAAAAGGAAACGTCGGAGGCCATATAAGTATATAAAATATGAACATATGTTATATTCATGATCAACGTGAGGAACTGAGTTGATTTAGCCATGTCTGTCCGCCTATTTCTATGTACGCGAGCTAGTCCCTCAGTTTTCGAGATATCGATCTGTAGTACACGTCTTTTTTCCTCAAGAAGCTGCACATTTGTTGGAACCGGTGATATCGGACCACTTAGCTGCCATACAAACTGAACGATCCGAATGAAGTGCTTGTAAAGAAGTTAACGTTTTTTTCTTGTTTGATTTGTTTTTTTTTTCACTAAAAGAAAAGTAATGAAGTTGAGTGCGTGTTTTTCTCATTTTGTTGCTTTTGAAGTCTTCGTTTTATTTAGATTTTCATTTACCTTCTCAAAACCATTTAAAATTTTGTATAATTTCTTCATAAGTGCATATGTATGTGAAGCTAAAATATATTTATATTTTTATTACATAGTTATATCGATTCATATTCTTACCTATATATATGAGTGTTTGTATATATTTTTATTTTCCCTATATAATTTAAACAAATTTTCAAAGTATATATATTCATATAGTTTACATTAAAATATTTACTCGTATACTGGGTTGCATGGTCACATTTGTTATGTTTAAACAAAGTAAGGAACTCTCTCAGGAAGTGAACTTTTATTCCAGCCCTAGTAAAAATTCACTTCCAAACTTTTCAAATAAGATACACTAAGTTTTTTTGAATTTTTGAATGCGGAAAACACCCTATATATGCGTATTTATATATAATATATATATAATTTATATATTTTTTATATCAAAATTATATTTTACTATACATGTGTATAGGTAATGTGTGTCTGTGTGAGTTTCCGTAGCCAGTTTATCATTTTAAGCGAAGTAATATTTACATGTGATCGTCAGATTAGTTATATCCCGCTCATTACACCACATTCAGCTCGTAATCAGCGTCGTTGTCTTCATTGGTCGCTTCGGCATCACTTTGTATGCTCTTCTCATCTTGTGCCGAGGTTTCGTGCTCGTCATCCTTGCTAAACAGCACTTTGATGGCTCTGTCCATGGGATTGCTTTCGCCTATACCGCCATATTGCTCGGCTTGATGTAGAATTTTTGCGGCTTCTGTGATAACCTCTCTGGGTAGTGGTGGTTTGGTGCTATTCTCGTTAGGTGCTTGCTGGTCCAAACTCTTGCCGAAACGCATGAAATTCTGATCTGGTTTACTGAAACGCATGAAATTCGGTGTAGCCGTTGGTATTCTACCAAAGCGCATAAAGTTGTCCGGTCGACCGAAACGCATGAAGTCTTGATTGTTGCCACGTTGTTCCTTTGGCGTACGTCCGAAGCGCATGAAATCATTTTTGGAATTACGTCCGAAACGCATAAAATCATTATTAGAACCACCTCGTCCGAAACGCATGAAGTCCGAAGGATTTCTACCGAAGCGCATAAAATCACCCGAAGCACGTCCAAAACGCATAAAGTCATCGGCTGGTCGACCAAAGCGCATGAAATTATCACCGCGTGAATCGCGTATACCCTCCTGACTGCGTTCAATGCGTCGGCCTGCATCGGCGCTCTTATCATAGTTAACCGTATAATCGTGATCGAGACTATTCACTTTGGGCACTTGTTCGAGCGTACGTTTGCCGAAGCGCATAAAGTCGGATGGACTGCGTCCGAAGCGCATGAAATCTGTTGCATCACGACCGAAACGCATAAAATCGGCATTTGCACGTCCGAAGCGCATGAAATTCTCATTAAACGCTTTGCGACGAAGCTCCTCCTCTTCGTCAGCCTTAGACTTACGAAATTTCAAAATAATCAAATTCTTCGAGTAGTCAATATTCAACGATGCGATGGGATAACGAAACTCTACTTCGGTTGGATTGCGTCCAGTTTGTATAAAAGGTAATCTTTGTGGATTCTCAGTTCGTTCGTTGGACTCACTTTCATTAAAATCGGCATCATCTGTGTCGGAAATAGTGTTTAGTTGCTCATTTGGTGATTCTATAATTTCGCTTCGTATTGTCGCCTGCAATTGTAGCATGTATAGGAAGAAGACTAGTAGCGGACCCATATTGGTGATCGCTGGTATTAATGTGACCTAGAAGTAGAGAAATTAAAACAATAAGTTAATAATGTAATTTCTTATAAAAATTATCTCGCAATCATCACAAAAGTTGTCATACTCCTTCGTAAACATGTGTCTCAGTTTCTGCTTAAACTCTTCACACGCTAATTTTTATGTTGCCCCTTTATGAGCTGTTGTTGTCTAACGGTGTAGTAGTTTTAATCACAACTCATTACCTCCTGAAGATCGTTAAATACTCGTAAGACTGTTGTATTAACGATGGAACCGTGACAAAAGCACTATCAAACGAAGTCGTAAAATCAGTGAGGACCATCTCGGCAGTTACCGACGCTTAATAAACTTTTCCGAGTACAAATTGGCAACGTCTGTACTTTTGGTAATCTGATATTTCTGTGACAGTAGCACCTGAGCTTGTAAAATTTCAGCAGTTTTACGACATCTGTGATCAAATAAAATCTGTAGACTGAGTTATTGATATGGCAAATTACGAACGACAGAGCTCTGGCGAAAATTAAACTTCAAATGAGTAAACCTAATCCGATATTGCTAAAATTCGATGCTAACAAATTTCTTAAGACTGACACTAATAACTATGTATATAGACATAGTCCAAAGCTTTACTAAAAAGTATTTAATTTTTTAAAGACGAAATCGAAGTTCGTTTCATCAATATTTAAAAGATACGATTTTGTCTGGGGCTTCTTGTGTTGAACAATAAACGATATACAAGTATAACTTGTGACCAGAAAGTTTCCGGAAATTGTAAATCAAACGGAAAATGTTGAATTTTCATCAACATTTATTTCGTCACCTTCAAAATATGCTCCTTCTGAAGCGATACACATATGCCACCTCTTTTTCCATTCATCGAAACATGCCTGGTAGACGCTGTCCGGGATCGAATTCACAAAACAGGTCGCATGGAGCCAAATCCGGTGAATACGGTGGTTGATCGATGGTATTGAACGAGTTTATATACTCTCGCAATATGTTGCTACAGAGTATAATAGTTTTGTTCACCTAACGGTTGTTTGTATCACCTAAAACTAATCAAGTTAAATATAGGGTTAATATATATAAATGATCAGGATGAAGAGACGAGGCATAGTAAAGAAAAGCTCCTTAAAAATAATAAAGCTGTTCGAAGATGGATGGAAACGTTTTGAATGCGTGAGACATAGTATTGTTCTTTATGTTTATTTATATATATATATATATAAGAATGTATAAATGTATATTAGGGTGGAGCAAAAAAACGTTTTTTTGTTTGCCTTGGGCAAAATTTGTAGATTGTAAAAAAAGAAAATTAAAGAAAAAAAAAATATTTTTTAACATCACTTTTAAAGTAAATTTCGAGAAATAATTATTTTTGGCGAAAACAAAAAAATGTTTTTTGGATTAAACTCTTCACATTTATATAAAAATTACCGAATTTGATGGTTTTTGACTCAAATTTTATTTTAACGCTTATTGTCGTTTAAGACTTTTTTTAAAACTCCAATAATGACCACAAACAATTTTTTTAAGTTGATAACTTTTAATTGGCCTGAAAGAGGTTCCACAGCTTCTGGAACACTTATAAAAATTTTTCTACGAAATAAAAATTTTAACTCGAAATTTACTTAAAAAGTGACTTTTACTTTTACAAAAATCTTCTTTTTTTATAATCTACAAATTTTACCCTTAGGCTAAGCAAAAAAAAATTTTTTTGTATATGGCCTCATCATAATAATTATAAATTCACATAACGCATTCAATGTAGTCTATTCCCGCCTTTTGACCAAATCATAGCTTTATAAGCTCAGAGATAAAATTAAAGAAATGCTTAAAGTGTGTAACGCACGACTCTACCTAACTATCGGTATTAAATTTTCCCTAAAGTATGTTAGTAAACACTGAACTACATTGGGTCATGGGCGACTAGCTTGCAGCTGTCACGAGTTGTCACATAACTGTGTTGACAACAATGATCAACACACGATCCCCACTTATCTCCCTTCTGGCGTTCATTTGACTCTGATATATATATCTTTTGTTTCAGTGTTGCATTGTGAATTTCTAAATGGGTAGCTCTCTGATGGCATCTTTTTATACAAACATATATATAGGTGAGTATATGAACCGTTTTTTAGTAAAAACTTCGCTTCTGCTCTCGTTGCTATGTTTCCTAGTTTAATTAATTAAGCTCTAGTAGAACAGACCTCATAAAAGACAGATATTATTTGGTTTTTAAAGACTACTAGATAATAATGCCTACTTAAGCATACTGCAGAACAACGTTTGCAAATAATGCAAATTTATTACAAAAATAATGGCTCTGTTCTCGCGAAGCTGCATCCAATATTCGGATACGAGAAACTCTTTTACTTTAGCCAATGAAAAAATCAATTTATTGGTGGAAACTTTGGGTGGACATATTATCTCGCGTCGTGGGTCTGTGGCGTGGCTTCCAAGATTGTACGATTTATTACCGCTACCGCTGGACTATTTTTTGTGAGGTTTTGTGAAGTTTAATGTCTAAAGAGATAAGCCCGAGACGATTGACGCCTTGGTAGAGAATCTTCGGCGCGAATTATAATTTAGTAAATAATAATGTGGTAGAATCTCGACAGCAATATAATTAAAATCCGTAGAAAATGTGGTCCTCAAATGCTCCTCCTTCCAGTAAATCATGAAGATGGCTTAGGGCTTGTAAAACTTTTATTTAATTAAAAGATATGGTAAATAAAATTTAACTTTGCGGTGGTTATAAGAAATATATTTTTAGAGTAGACTGTATAGGTAAATTTAATTAATAGGTCAATTGAACAGAATAAGTCTCTTTCCACAAATACTATGCCCTAATTCTGAATCACGAGCAGCTGGAAATCAAGTCAAGATGCACAAATGTTTTGAAATAAGTATTTGAAAGCATCACTTCTAAGCACATGAAGCGCAAACGTAAAAGCAAAAGTAAAAGTAAATAGAAAGCCAAGTTATAAACATAACCTGAAAATGTTTAAATTTCCATTTCAAAATAGTTGTAAACTCACATAAAGCATTTAATGTAGTCTATTTCCGGCTTTTGATCAAACAATAGCTTTATAGGCTCACACTGGAATTGGAGAAATGCTTAAAGTGTGTAACGCACGACTCTACATAACTAACGATATTCAAATTTCCCTAAAGTATGTTAGTAAACACTGAACTGCATTGACTCACGAGCAACTAGCTTGCAGCTGTAACAAGTTGTCACATAACTGTGTTGACAACAATGATCAAGTGTTAGCGGCATATCTACCACACGAACCCCTTTACTCTCCCCTCTAACACACATTTGGCTGTGACTACCTGAGCAGACATTCGCTCGCTGCATAGAAAGACGTTTGTAGTAAAATATGGGCGAAATGTGAAATAATAAAGGCTCATACAAAATTTGCCACCAAGCTGCCACATGAGACAAGCAACAATAATAGTAACAAATTGATATGGAAACTGTGAGCAGATACGCGACTACGACAGATTGATGATATGAAAACTATGCGAAGCGGAACTTGTGACAATTGTGGCGTACACTACACACACACATGCACCCAGGTGCATATACTCGTACGTAGAATGATGAATGGAACAAAGGTGTTGAGAAAAGTAAAACCAAGTCTTGTGTGCGTACCAGGATATACGATAATGCGACGATGTGCTAAGCCTCGGCGACAACGGAAAAGCCAGCTTGATAAAGTCCCGAAATACCTGTGAAGATTTGTTTGAGAAACATTAAGCGTTGCATGTGCTGTCTGTCGCCCACGAACGGCAACTCAACAAAGCTTTCAGCACAGAAATCATAACATAGGAATGTCGCTAAACCACCGGTAGCTTTTAAATTCATAAATAAACGACATGTGTTCATATGGCAGCACTACCACATATATATTTATTCACTTTCTTGTGCTTAACGAAGAACTTGAGTTTAGCTATGTATTGTATACTTGTATATATGTCTCAACCCATTTCATTCCTTATTTTTCATAAGTAGTTGTTGTTGCAGTAAGCATCTAAATTCACGATGCAACAAGTAGAAATTACCCCACCGGAATAGATCATAAGTATTAGTTAAAGATTGATAAAAATGGCGAGTCTCTAAACGTAGGTAAATACATGCATTGATGTTACCCCATTTCGCCTATGCTAGATACTCCAATTACCACAACCTTCTCTAATTAAATACATACAAGTATTCGTATTTGTATGGAGCAACTGACAGAATATTGGAAATATATATTGATATCGCAGAACTTTCTACCTGCGGTTTCTTCTCGTCTCATACACCTGCGAGAGATTAGTGGACGGGGCGAAGCCGTTGGAGAAGTGGTGCAGTAAGTTTTTTCACGGAAGGATCGAAGTTAAGAGGGAGAATAGGAGGTGGACTCTTCTGTCGGGAACTCCCCATCTACTCTAGTTCCAGGCGACCAGACCACTATAGCGTCTTTACAAGTGGAGGTGGCTGCAAGGTAGCAGCAGGTGTACTGCTCCGATAGCCGAGAGGCTATATTTTCTTTGAGCTCACATATGTAATTTTACTAAGCGATACAAGTTTAGAAAATTCTAAATTCCAAGAATAGTTGTGCCGATCAACATTTCACAGATCTTTTCAAAAGCCTAAGCATAGCAGTCTTTATGAAATGCTGTATCAAATAGTTACTAAAGGGCTGATTTACATATGTGGGACCACTTTTTACGAATCAAGAGATATATCCAATATTGTTTTTTTAAAGTAAGCAAAACTTTCGGTCTTGTTTGAACAGGGTATATTAAGTTAGCTACGAGGTTTCTAACACCCAAAATAAAACGGATTAGTCATCGCCGTCTGTCTGTCGTATGTATATACTGCAAATAGTCTCTCAGTTTTTGAAACATCGATCTAAAATTTTGCACACGGTTTTTCTTAAGTTTCTTTTTATTTGTCACATAAATTAGTTATTGTTTATAGTGTGATACTTAAATAATGACCTTCTGAGGAAATAATATTCTATAATATTTTTTTCACAAACTTTTGAAATATTTTAACACTGAAAGTTCGAAACCGTCGATAAAATCGGGTTGGTTTACTATATCTTGACGAAGCCCAACAGTTTAATGAGTTTTACTAAAATATTTATTGATAGTAATGTTTCTCTATTTTTAATGGGTTTGGTTAGAAAGAAGCAGATGATTCGTCGGTCAGCAGTCCAAGCATCATATACACTGTACAAAATATCTGCCAATTATCTTGTAGATTTTTTGACCTGAACTTAAAAATGCTTTAGCTTTCAAACTGTTTCTGCAGAACAGTAAATTTCTATAGGACTGTGAGCTAAATTATAATTCTGAAGAAAAAAACAAATTAGCCTCAAAATAGTCAAACTTCAACCGTTAAGCTTTTTTTTAGGAAGAAACTGTAAAAGGTCATTTTGTAGAGAATTCAATTATCTACAACATCCAGAAAACGAATTATATTTTTAAGTAGTTGAAAGCGAAATATGAATTTTTCTATCTGATAATAAGAAAAAAATAGAAAACCGTTAGCCGGAGGACCTTCCCGTTACAATTAAGAGCTCATACTTGGAGAGCCTTTCTATCAACCAATTTTTCAGAATACGAAGCGAAAAAAAATTGTGTGAGTTTATGATGTCGAAGCTTTTTTCTCTACAAAATTTATTATAGTCAACCGCTGTGGAAAATATAAGACCATCTATGTCTATAAAACCAATCTATATATTCATATATGTATATTTCTGAAGCAACAGCGCTACGAACTATTTATAGATAAACTATTCTCTACTATTTTTCATTTTAGATTCAAATAACCAAATTACCGTTAAGTCTTCCATTTTCTGCCTCCAAAACCACTGCCTTGATCTACTTTTTAACATTGAATGTTATCTGGCTAATTATTAGAGATATACTTGTACACATACATTTATTTAGTTTATATATTTATATAGGAATATGTACATCAGGGTGAGCCAAAAACTAAACTTTCGACTTTATGGGTTTAAACGAAGTGAGAACAAGCAAAAACGTTAACTCTTTTCTTCGGAGTTGTAGCGTTGTCTAATAAAAACAGTTTCCAATACAAGAACGTCATTTGACCATTCAGTTTGTATGCCAGCTATATGCTATAGTGATCCGATATCGATATATGAGCAGCTTCTTGAGGATAAAAGCACGGGTGCAAAATTTCAGATCGATATCTCAAAAACTGAGAAACTAATTCGCGCTTATACAGACTGTGGCAAAGTAAGTTTCTGGCTCACCCTAATGTATATACATATACATTAATACAGACATAAAAATGTTTTTATTGAAATGTTGCACGTAGCTATATATACATATATAAATAGGAGTACATAGTATATGAGGTCAATATTCACAAAAAAGCAGACACATATTTTAACTCTGCGCCGTTGGTCAATAACGTGGCTGCCTTCACAAACAATTACAGCTAATATGAGAGTGAGTAAATATTTCTTCTTTATTTTTTATTTTGTTATTAAATATTTATGCTGTTACATATTTCTTTGTAAAGTTGACGTTAAGTCGCCGCTTAATGATGTTGCTTCATATGTAAATTTTTGCTTTGGTAAATAAGTAGGTATGTGACTCACTCTGCCCCTATCGTAACATATGCTCTCCTTTACTTGTATTACCTTTAATTTTTAACACGTGCAAGTGAAAATTGTATAAAAATTAAGTGCCTGCTGAACAATTAAAGCGCAAATTATGATTTTTAGTGCGGTTAGAAAATACCAAAATGGCTGCGAATACATAAATGGGCGCCGTAGACCCGAAAAACTGTTACTCGCTCTTTTATTTCTTATTAAAAACACCTTTGCGGCAGTGGCTTTTGAATTTTGCTTAAGGTTTCAAGTGAAGTTGAGTGTTTTGCAAACTGAAACCATGGAAAAGTTCGTTTTTTAATGCCTCCCGCCTGCGTTCGCAATTAACTCATTCAATTTTCTACTTGTCCTTCAAACTTATCTCTTTTGTAAACTAAATTGTTATGTTAGGTGCTCATATGTGATTTTATTTAAGCTTAGAAATAGTTACGTTTAAATAAAGTAGAAGTAGATAGTTCCTCAATTTAAGTAGACTGCGTTTACTGCATATTGGCCACTCTAAGACAACTGCCTATGTATGTATTTAGAATTTTTAAAAGAACACCTGTGGATAATTATATATTATTTGTTGAGTGGTGTCTGTTAAAAAATTATTACCAAAACTCTCGCTTTTGCCCCTGATAAGTTTCAAACTGACGACTTACAAAAGTCTATTTTCAAACGATCGCTATTCAGCGACTAAACAATACTTTGTAAGGAACACAAATGTTAACAACACTCTCCAGCTCCAAATCTTCTTCTCCAACTGTAAATGAACAAAAAACACAGCTCCCAAAAAATCGGGTCCATATAAGGCTATTTATTTAAAACCTGAACAACGTATATTAAGCTTGTCACGAAGTTTGTAACACTCAGAAGGAAACGTCAGAGACCGTATAAAGTGTCGCATTTGCCATAGTATAAATTATTCACGTGACAAGCTGAGTCGATTAAGCTAGGTCCGTCTGTCTGTCCATCTGTATATACGCGAACTAATTACTAAATTTTTGAGATATCGAACTGAAATTTTTCGCACGTCCTTTTCTCCCCAAGAAGCTGTTCATTTGTCGGAAACTTAGATATCGAACCGATAAAGGGTGGTATACAAATTGATCGATAAAAATCAAGTGCTTGTATGGAAGCTATTTTATTTAAGAAAATATCTTCATGAAATTTGGCATAGATTATTGTCCAAAACAGTGCTACAGTCTCTTTATTTTGATTTTGATCGGTAAGTTCAAGTCACAACGTGGCTAGAAAGATACATCTAAAGTTTTCCGTTGGTGGCAAACCGTTGGACGGATAAGTTTTCAAATTTAGTTATACATATAGAAATATAATTGCTACAAGAAATACACATGTAAAGAGTAATATAACCGCGACGCAGCAGAAGTTAACGCATTTTCTTAAAATATATGCTTCGGGAACACTTTTGCATTCATTGTCTCTTAACTTATAGGACTCTTTTTCGCACGGATAACTTTTATAAATGGAATGAACAAGTTAATGCAAGCGCGGTTTTTTTTCTTTAAGACTTTCAGTTAGCTGTCCATTCCGTTAAAGATCTTATAAAACTGAAATGTAGTCTACCTTGGTCGCATTAGATTGAGAAAATCTAAAAGATTTAAATAAACTTCTCTTTATAACCCTGTACAAATCTAAAATTCGGAGATCTTTTCTTTGGCGAAGTACTTGAAGAGTAAAATGTCGCTGAATAATAACTAAATCTTCATGAAGATTATGACTTATATATCATAGTCGTTTGATATTAAACGATATTTCCGACCTATGTATAGTTATATTTTTAGTCTATGGAAGATATAAATAATTTAAACGTCTAATCTCAATTTTTCTGAAGTAAGCGTTAAACGACCTGCATACAAGTATGTATATCTTGCAATCGACTCATTGGTTCATAAAAAACCAAATGCCGTCAGTTTCATCATTATTTCTCTCTCTCTCTACTGACAACCATAAATCTAAGTTGTAGACAATTTCGCTAACCGAATATCAGCATTTCTTTCTGCTACGAATTCCTGTACCTGTATCAGTTTTTCCCTGAAATGAGATGCTGTTCGCTCTTGGAGGAGGAAAGAAGCTAATCTGGCATTAGGCTTAAGCATCAACGACCATCATCTGATGTAACTTATGCTTATTGGATTGATGAAAGTCTCAGTACCCAGTTTCTTGAGTTTGAAGCAAATATATTACATAAAAATATTATCTTTCAATTTTTAGAACCCAGAAAAGAACTCAAAGTTTTTATAAAGTAAGTTTTAGCGTGTTAATGAGAGAGTAGTTAATGAGTTCCTCTTCGAGTTAGGGTAACTCTTTAATGTTATTTATGCTTTAGAAAGTGTGTATATAACATTTTTTTAAATAATATTTGAAACAGAACCACCTCTGAGTGATTAAAATAAACTTGCTGGCAACTAAAAAACATAAATTTTTTTTAAACTAAATTTTAAATATATGTTTGGAATAATATTTAAAATTCTGAAGATTTTTTTTGGACTAACATTCCAAACGGATACAGATCTGATATTTGAGTGATTGAGAACAACTTCCCGGCAAATCAAAAATTTTGGAAAGTTGAATTTCTTTGAAATAATATTTGCAACGAAAGCATTTTTGAGTGATTGAGGCAACTTCCCGGCAACTCAAAAATACAAATTTTTGAAAATTGACATTCCGGAATATTTTTTTGAAATAATACAGTATTTAGAACGAAAACAGGCATCTCAAAAAAACAAGATTTTGAAAATCACCTTTTAAATTTTCACCTTGATCCCAATGTTTACGGAAAATTCCCCGTACAAATGGTAACTTCTCGTTAAGCTGTCAAATTCACTTGTCAACCGTTCAAAATCATACACAACTTTTGAAGGCTAAAAATAAACGTTGAAACTTTAGAAACCGAGTTTGCGGTAAACTTTGTGCGGCACACCAACTCATTCAATCATTTTCGCCTAACAAGTATTAAAAGTTCTAAACAAAACTATACAATTTTTCACTTTTGCTTTATAAGTCAAAACAACAAAACCGTCGGATTTCCGTTTCCACTTTTGTGACTCGATTGAAAAATTCGCGCTTTCCGTTTGACCACTGTCACTACCTGCGCCAACTGGGACCGATTATGATTGATGCCACGGCGTAAAGTTATGTGGCTTTAAAGTGGCTACTTTGACTAACCCGTGATTCCGTTGTCCGTTATGTGCTAGGCACTTGTTGGCCGTGGAATAAGTTCGAGACTTCTGCGGCTTGTGTTGGACGCGCATCCTGTTTTATAAGTGTGGCAGCCACAAAGGCAGCAGCCTAACACCAACACAAGCGCAGTGGTAAACATTCGCACACACACAGACTTTATAATGCTTATCAACAGGCGAAGAGCGACAACAACAACAAAAGACACCATCTCCTCCTGCAACAACTTGTTTGCATCCTTATGCTTTCCTTCGTGTGTTTGATGTCGGCAAATGCTCGTCACATCGCCATTTGCCTTTGTATTGGTACTCACTACCGTTTACCGGAAACACAATGTGCAAATGTTTCAGCAACATTTCAATGTTGCTTGGCATTGAGCGGCTTTCGCAACCTCGTAAAAACCTCTAATTTCATGTTCAAAGGACATGGTCAATGTTTCACCGGCAAGAAACGTACGAAATTCAAATGTTTGTGTATTTGAGGTTTGTATTATAGCTCGCGTATGTGTGTGTATGCTGAGATAGTCACTTTTCTGTGGGTGTTTTCGAAACAGTTGACCAAACATAATATGAAAGCAGGCAAATAATGATTTAGTAATATTTCCAACTTTGCATTTGCGTATTCAGTTTGTCATTGCATTGCTGCTCCAGCTACATATTGTGGCGCATTTTAACTTGCTGACATTTGTCTCTATTAGCGATAGGTAGATATAGTGGTTGTGGAAACGTAGGTTGACTTAATAAAAGTGTTAACGTGATTTAAGGTATGCATTTTTTATATAATTTTATATTCTTATATATAATATTACAAGTTTAATATATATATAGAGATCTAATAAAAACAAATCCATTAGCATAGTAAGAATGATCTATTAGCCAAAACTGACCGCTTCTGAGCGATTGCTTCCTTCAGAAGATTCAGTTGCAAACAATATAGGTCTGAATTAAGAGTTTGGCCATACAGACACAGCTTATAGTAGATGATTCCCTCTCAATCCCACCAAACAAATAGCAAAACCTTCTTCCCCATCAATCCTGTTTCAGCCACTGTTTGCTCCACGAAAGTTTCCGCATGTGATTATAGTAAGTGACTTTCATTTCCACTAAATTTTCATAACCACTAACTCTGATTCAGAAATGGTTCGAATTTGTTGCGATTAAGCAAAGATTCGCAGATGGAAATTCGATACATGTGATATTTTTTGTTAACACGTGTGAAACCCATACCTTGAGCTACATTTTGTATCCAGCCTTATTTAAATGGTATTCTAAAAAGTTGTGCAGTTTTGGCAAAAATAATGCCTTCAAAGAGCGGCACTTTTCACGAACTTCCAGTCCACTTTACACCGAACAGCGTCTGTTTCCAATAACAGTGCGTATTTGTGCCTAAATTAGATAAAATTGGTCCAGTACTTTCCCTAGCCCCATATATCCAATATAATAATTTTCGAATTTCCAGTTGACTTTACACCGTACATATCGGTCTATATAGGAAGAGATGGAAATGTAGATTAGGTTTCCAAATTGATTAATTGTAGTCAATTCGCAATCGAATGTTGCATTTAGTTGTAATATTTATACCCTGAACAGTGGGTTCACTTTCTACTCTGAAAAATAGGTTCTTAGACCGCTCTAAGGAAGTCTCACCAATGACCTCTTAATCCTCTTAATTGTAACGAGAAGATCCACCGTTTTACAATTTTCTACTTTTTTCGTATTATCAAATAAAAAAAATCAGACCTCGCTTCTAACTACTTGAAACAATATCTCGTTTCATAAATTTTTTAGGAAATTGAATGCTCTACAAAGTGTTGAAAGAAATTATCGATTGAAATTAGATTATTTTAAGGCAAATGTTTTTATTATTATAAATCGGAAAACTACTGCTCTACAAATACAAATTTTTTGTACGTACTTTTCTCCCCAAGAATATTCCCTCGGGGCGCTGAGTTCTCGAAGTGGCCCTATTTTCTAAGAAATTAAGTGAAAAGTTAAAAATGCTTAAGAATGCTTTTGATAGTGATTATTTCGATAGGTATTATTTAAACGTTGTGATTACCGATAAAGCGCGTTTTTGCGTGCATGTACAGAAAAACGCAGTTACGTACATTAACACACACTGACAAAGTAATATAATATGAGCCGGCATAACTGCCGCCAACCGAGCCCACTACACTTTTCTAGCGCATTTTCTTAGCGTTAAAGAAAATTTCTCCCCACCCTCGTCTCTACAATCGAATATCACCAGATTCTTCCCTTGTTGTTTAGAAAATTCTTGCCGAAATGCATGCCTGTTGTTAATCGGAAAAATACATTCAACCCTAACTGAGTTTGAATTTGAGCATTTTCGATTTTGTTTGGAGTTTTTCGTGTGCCAAGAATGTTGTGCTCGGTGCTTCGAGAAAGAGATTGATTCACTAAAAGCCAAATCAATTTTATGAATTTGCAGTTGGAGAGCTCCTCCTTAAGGTGCGTTGAAATATTCTATTTACAAACAAGATCGCATAGTTTTCTGAAAATATTCGGATCATATAAGCAGCTGAAAATTTTCTGAAAACTTTTATGAAAAACTGAATTTTGGTCGCGGTGTTATCGTATCTGTAGAATCTTCATCTCGAATGAAATATCAACAAAAAATCGGCTCTGTTAAAAAATTGCAGTCCTTGCTACTAAATCCCGTTGTTTGCTAATAATTAAATAATAAAATAAACGAGAATGTGTGTAAAAAAAAAATGTTGTAAGGAAGGTTTTTTCATTAATATATATATATATAATCTGAAAAAATCGTTGACGTCGTGTTTGACTTATTCTTTAAAAACATTGAAATAATAAGTGGGAAGATAGTTAATAAAGTATTAGAAACATTCCTGTAGGGAGGGACTCCATACATAGGGCATATATACATTTAAATTCGTTTACAAATACATCTCTTCCTTAATCTAAATATCTTTCTTACGCAAACCAAATGACCTTTCGTAACATTTCCATGTCAAAAACTGAATACTAACATTTATTTTGACGAATGGACTACAATGGAGTCCACAAAAAAGACACTGCCTGTCAGGTGGAAATGTAAAATTGTAAATAAAAGAGCAGGAAATGCATATGTCATGGTAGAAAATAAGTCTATTGTAGCACTGAAGAATGTTTGCATATATTTTTGGCTGTGTATATATGTATTTGTGAGTATGTGCATTTTGATGATTTTTCATTGAGAGCAAACAGACAGTTGCATATTAAAGTATTCTAAACAAGAGACAAAATTTGACGACAACTTTAAATTGTTTTAGCAACATGAAGCTGAGTGCTCCTAACAATACTTATATACAAATGTTGCCAACATTACGACGCCGTAATGGTAGAACGTTTAAATTAAATGCACAATTAAAACGCCCATTTTTTTAATTTTTACAAAAAACGCCTACCAAAGAGCTGCGTCGAAACGTTGCAAAGCCAAACGATGCTGCCAGTATTGGAGATGTCGCCACAAATTAGCTATGGATTAGCTAACCGGCAAATACTAGCATTACAAGCCGATTTGCGTAGTTTGCACATATACTTGTGCATGTGTGTGTATGTGTTGCGCGTAATTTGCGGTTAGTCTTCTAATGACACTTTCACAAAGAACTCTTAAGTTTTTCATCTCTCAAGTATTGAAGAAATCCTTTCCTTTCTTCATTGTTTTTGTTGTTTTCGTTTTATAGCCATGTAACTGTACACTTTGTGTCGCCTTTTATGGCATATTTGGACACCGTTGGCCGTCTGCTCGAGCGCATGTACATATGTTGCCGCGTAATTTGTTAACGCGGCCGTCAGAGTGTCGTCAGCGTTGGATGCTGAAGTTTTTAAACAGCACTCACACACACACATAAAAAATTAAAATTTACTAGGAAAAAATACACATATTTAATGTCCATTCCTATGTATGTAGGTACATAATTGCCAAGTGCTACCTTTACAGCTATTTTGGTTTAGCTTAAAAGTTTTTCTCAAAGCTTAGCAGTTTTTAAGCCTTAAACTATCTTTTAAGTATTATATAATGTAAGACATCTGAATAGTTTTGGCCTAATTAGATTTTAAGTTTTATAAACTTTTAGTTTGGGTTTTCAGTTCGAAAAAATTGGTTCAAACAGGTCACTCATTTATATCTAGTTGATTTTAGTAACTAAGTCACTTCAGTATTGACCAAAGCCTTCTAAAAGTAAGATTTCAGTACCAACATACGCATTTATTAATTTATATTGAGTTAAAATTCACCTGAACTACTTTAAGTATAAAGCAAAAAAAATTTTACACCGAAGCTAGAATACCCTTCTTAGGTGCATTTCTTATGGCATATATGTATAACTTAACCTGAACCATTTTGCTAGTTTTTTCTTACCCTCTCCTTAACCAACTTACCTTTACTCCTTGCTGAAGATATGCATAAGCGATCTTGCTTCCCTTAGCCGGCATTGTGAGTGTGTGACCGTGCTATACCGGAGGGAAAGCGCACAACAAGTAAGTGTCACCCCGAGAAAATCGGAAGTATATCTCTATACGAGAAAAGTGACAGTACAACCATAATGTTGTACCACTCTTGAAAATGACCAAATATCCGAGGGATTACTAAAGACCTCAAATTTTAGAACACCTTCAGAAGAGCTCTTGTGACAGATATATAATTTTAGTAGACGCATTCCCAAGTTGTCGTTGTTCTTTGTCTTCTGCGTTGCCAATTTCAGGTGGTGGTCCCAAATTCTATCTTATCTCACATATACGACTCTGGGAATAGCAGAGAATGCCCGACGATCTTGTTGTACAACAATTTTTCCGTAAAATACTACCTAATCAATAAAAATCGGATCCATTCGGATTCTATGTATGAACTGAACCAAAATGTCTGTTTTCACTGTACTAGTCAACGATTTCTGAATCCAACTGTTCAGTTCAAAATATTCTTATTGTCATTTAAAAAAAAAATTGTATTGCCCCTCACCAACTGAAAAAATTTCCGAATTTGTTTTGCAATGTTTTTAAAATAAATTACCACATATTGTGATCAATCAAGGTGGTT